TGAGCACAGCCATTCATTGGCTTGGCCCCCCGTCCTGCCGCGCCTACACCAGCCGGTACCTGCTGGACATACACCTAAAGTACCTTCAACAACTCGAGTCGGTACCTGAGGTACGCGTGTAATATCTCGAGTCATCATTTCCATATTTCCCAAAGTCCCTTAAAACCAATCTTCAGCTCCTTTAGTTGTGACTGCGGAAAGCAATTACAACCGAGTTGGCAGTGGAGCTTCGAGACGTCAGCTGAAGAGCTCCAAGCCACCAAGGTGACGGACGCTAATTGAGAGCGGCAATGTTTGGGATTTCGTGGCCATGGCGGGATTGCTCGCTTTATGATGCGAAACGGACGTTGACGAGAGGAGACTAAGTCTAGAGACATGCTAATTCATTGCGGAGTAGACTTTTGAGGATTTTCGCGAAGCTACCTTACCTACCCTAGCCTCTGTTATTCTGGAATGGAATACTTCACCTAAGCATGGTGGTGACTCGTTTTTGATTGCTGAATGTGACCCCTTTCAAGGTGCTGCGGCCGAGCATTCGTACTCCCTCATGACGCGGATCGACGCTTGATCGTTCACTATCTACCACTATCTGACTCTTCGCATCTCCTTGCATAAGCGCTGACATTTATTGAGCCCGCTCTTTCATTGATTTCTCGGCCGTGTAGGGCATATACTGATCTGGGCGTGCTCGCCGATCGGGGATACTTCAAAGCCTCGAGCATCTCCGGGCCTTCTACCATCTGCGCAATGGCATGTTCAGCGTATTCAGCGCCATTAAAAGGCTTCGCGTTGGAGGCAGAGGAAGAACAGAACAGTGCTATGGGAATCACCATCACCGTATAGTAGAGTAAGCCCGTCCCTCCGGCCCGAGCTTCGCATTTCCGGTTCCATTACGGAAGGACAGAACATGAACAGGGCTGAAGAGTAATAAAAGGGTATCTTTTTTTTTTCTAACGCTCAAGATCTTTGCCTGACCGTTTCTGGTCTACGGGTGTTCCCCCTTAGTCCCATGTGTATTCTTGATGATTTTTTTTATGATTTGAGCTCTTGTGCTCAGAAATGTACTACCGTGCAGCTGCGGCGATCTTCACCCCGAGGTGCCTGGCATGCTGAGCCATAAGAGCATCAGCGATAGTCAGAGCGGCCATAGCTTCAACAATAGGGACCGCACGAGGAACAACGTTGGGGTCATGACGGCCCTTGGTGGTCAGGACGCCCTCGCCCGAAGCATCGTAGCGAGCAGTAGTCTGGTCCTGGGAGATTGTAGCAGGAGGCTTGAACGCAACGCGGAAGAAGATGGGCATGCCGTTGGAGATGCCTCCTTGGATACCGCCAGAGTGATTTGTCTTAGTCGCTAGACGGGAGGGAGGAATGCCAACGCTAGCACTCAGCGCCACATCATCAACAGTGGGGGCAGATACGAAGGGGTCATTATGGCGGGAGCCGCGCATCTCGGCGCCTTGGAAACCAGAGCCAATCTCAAAGCCCTTGGTAGCAGGAATAGACATCATAGCATGGGCGAGAGTAGCCTCAAGCTTGTCAAAGCATGGCTCGCCTAGGCCGGAGGGGCACCCGCGAATAATACAGGTTACAGTTCCACCAACAGAATCATGCTGATCGCGGAGCTCAGCAACCTTTTCCTCCATACGCTTCGAAATAGCCTCATCAGGGCAGCGCACAGGAAGGAACTCGTCCACCTTCTCGCGGGTCAGAGAGTCGACAAGCTCGAGGAACTTGGGGTGGCTGCTAAGGGAGTCGATCTCGTCGCCATCGGTTGTCGGCCTATCTCCAAAGAGCTTGATGTTGCCAACTGAGGAAACAAAAGCAACGATCTCAATGCCATAGGATTCTTTCAGCCACTTCTCGGCAACAGCACCAGCAGCAACGCGGGCGATAGTCTCGCGGGCGCTGCTCCGGCCGCCTCCAGATGAGGCCTTGGTGCCATACTTCTCGAGGTAAGTCCAGTCAGAATGGGAAGGGCGCGGGTAGACATCGATGGTCTTGGCGCCATAGTCATGCGGGCGTTGGTCTTCGTTCATCACTATCAAACTGGAAACGGTTAATATATTGCCTTCATTTTTTTCGCAAACGCGACAAACCTAATTGGTGTCCCTAGGCTTCGTTATGTCAGCATGAAGCATCATGAGTTCCTGTAGGGTCATCTTACGTGCGCCCAAACTCGGTTCCAGATCCTATAGTCACGCGGTCCTTCTCATTGCGCGGAGTGGTGATGGCCGACTGTCCCGGACGCCGACGAGTGAGCTGCGGCTGGATATCGGACTCAACGAGGGCCAGGCCTGGCGGGCAATTGTCGATGATGCATGAGATGAACTTGCCGTGGGACTCGCCGGCGCTGTGACGATGGGAGGTCAGCAGATTGTCCAGTTTGGCGGAGGGAGAGGACTCACGTCGTCACGCGAAAGTATTTGCCAAATGTCGACATGGTGTCTCTAGCTGTTCTGCATGTGCACTGGGCGAATTGATTGATATTGGAGGGAGAGAGTTTGGAGGGAAGAAATGTTGCGATATCGTGGGGATGTTTTCTTTGGCGGTGACTAATTGGGATCGGGGAAGGAGCGGCGTGTTTTACGATTTCCACAGGGGTTATAGCGAGCTACCCTGATCCAGTGCCCTACTAAAAAATTGGGATTTCGCTGCAAAATCGAACCACCACGAATGACTCGTCAACCACCGTCTGTAGCTGAGCTGGGCTGGTGGCCGATACCGGCCAATGCCCTAATCCTGCTGTCTGCTGCTGTGACAAGCAACAGCTGCAGACCTGACCTAGCTGTCTCTAATTGAGACGATCAATCGCTACGGACCTGACCTATCTGTCTCTCGTCGAGACATGCGATCGCTGTTCAATTGACCCGACTATCGGCTGCTGCGACAAACGATCATTATAAGGCCGGCGGTTTCTTTCATAGGAAAATCTGAGTGGGCCAACATCGGCAATCTCAGTGTCTTGGGACGCGCTGGTGTTATTTGATTTCTGACAAGGTAACAACCTCTGATTTAGCCTTCATTTACAAGTTCTAATAATACAAACCGACTCCTGGAAAGACAGAAAGATGTAAGAACGGCTAGGCGATCAGAGTAGTTGAGGTATGGGTCCACCATAGACGCTCAGAATCAAGATACGAATCTAACGCCCCATCAATTCAAATGTTAACCAAACGGTACTAATTATTGGCAATTCAATCTCAATTCTTGATATCTTTAATTTAATTCAGTTTATTTGATAGAATTAAATTAAGAAGTACTATATTTATGAATTATATTGTTTGTAGATATTTACTCAAAATTTCCAGCTTTAGTTTAAAAGAGATTTTGTACCTTAGGTAAGGTACACCTACCAGCCTGGAGACTCAGGCGGCGAGGTATGCAGGTATTTCTCGGTAAGGCAGTAGTAATCCAAGTAGCTTCACTATACCGAGGTAGGTACCTAGCTCGGCCCTGAAAGTCGGTACCTCAGGTACGCGTGTAATATCTCAGGTCATCATTTCCATATTTCCAAAGTCCCTTATCCAATCTTCAGCCCAGCTTCCAAGCAGCATTGCGTGTGTGGCGTGCCATTTTCTCTCACGTCTGACCAGCCAGGTACCCCTGCATCGCTTCCGCATCGCTTCCGCATGCATACGCCCCTCCCTCGACCACCACCTTGTCTCTGACCTTGTATCAGGCTGAACCTCCATCCAGAACAACTCATCCCTTGGCCGCACTATCCGAGTGGCCCCTAGTCGTCGCGGTCACATCTCCAAAAAACATTAACCATGGCTGGTAAAAAGGGGGAGAACAGCAAGAAGGTAGCGGGCAACGCCAAAAAGGCCGAGGCCGCGGCCCAGAAAGCTGCTCAAGAGGACGCGAAGCGCGAAGCCGCCGAGTCCGCTAGCTGGCAGAAGGGAGCCAAGGATACTTCCAAAAAGTGAGGCTGCAATGCGCCCGATCCCCTTCCCCCTTCACCCACACCTACGTTGGCCCTGTTTCTCCATGGGAAATGCATCACGCTGACGAGTCGCTGTCGCGCAACAGGGAAGCCGAAGCAGCTCGAAAGGCCGAGCAGGCCAGGAAGAAGGCCGAAAAGGACGCCCTCGAAAAGGAGGACGAGGAAGCCGCAGGCGGAAGGAATGAGCCCAAGAAGGGCAAGACCGCCGTGAAGAAGTCCCGTGGCCTTGACCTCTCCCAGCTCGATGATGATAACAAGGCCACCAGTCTGAACGCCTCAGGTATCGACAATGCCCTCGATGCGCTGTCCCTTACCAACGCCTCGGATGATTCCAAGGTCGACAAGCATCCAGAACGTCGATTCCCTGCTGCCTATGCCAAGTACGAGGAACGAAGGCTACAAGAGATGAAGGCGGATGGCAGCGGAGTTGGGTTGCGACTGGATCAGCGCAAGACACGTATCAGGAAGGAGTTCGAGAAGCATCCGGACAACCCTTTCAACCAAGTCACTGCTGCGTACAATGCTACTCGGGATGACTTGACACAGATCAGGGACCAGGAGAAGTCCAAGATCGAGAAGCGTCTTGGGAAATAAGATGGCTCTTCCAGTGCTTAAACTGAATTTCACATGTCCCTCGTCGTCCCTAGGGTGAGTAGCCCTCGGATGGCGGGATGTATTATGATATCATGAAAACGAAAAGTTCTACGTTTGCATACAGCATGTTCTGAGGTGTAAGACTACTTTTCATTGTTCTTGGATAGTACACTCCAACCTTGAACACTCATGTTTTCTTCCTCTACGTCTTTTGCTTCTTGAATAAATGAGTCACATATCATCGGCATCATCTGATAACCCCACCATTTAATAAAAGCCCCGCGAATTGCCGCGGGGTCGTGTTTCGTCCGACAAAATGCCAGACCGCCCTGGCTCACCGCTTTCCCCAACCGTCTTATACAGGTGACAATGCATAATCCAGCTTCACAAACCACCAACATGCCAAGACATCCCTTACCTACAATTATCAAGACATGTGATTTTTATAATTAGCGACAGAATGGCGCCAGTTAATCCACAAATCCTGACCTCGTTTCGAAAACAGAGGCTTCAATCTGAATTGTTAGTTTGCCTCGGCATCTACAGGGTGTGAGCTCTGATGGCAAGGGAAGCTTCCAACTGACACACCAAGCTAGCGCAGGACTGAAGCAGGCGTGTCCAGAGGGAGTCTTCGTAAGCTTAACACCTACCGACCCGACAATCTGGTCAGCAATCCTCTTCGTGCGAGATGGTAAGCTTTTGGGATGTGATCAAGTGCGGATGCTACGTGACATGTGAGCTGATGCCAGCACAAAGGACCCTATGCGCCAGCTGTACTGCGATTTCACATCTCCTTCCCCTTGTCCTACCCCGAGATGCCTCCGTTGGTCTCATTCGCCACCGACATCTTCCACCCGCTCATCACACCCTTGACAACGAACCAGAGCACCGGCGCCGTCAGCGCAACTGATGACGAGCGGCTACCTCTGGGAGGCTTCAGCCTTCGGCATGGGTTCCCAGTGTGGTTCAGTAGAGGCGAAAAGGCAACGCCGGAAGCCACAGGGGAATACTCAGGAGGTCGCTCGGTACATGCGAGCCCGCCGAGGGTCCCCGAGCTGGGCTCGAGCCAAAGCGCTGAGCGCTACCCGTCTGTCTACGACATCCTAAAGTACATTCGGAGCACCTTCGACGACGGAGATGTCCTGGACTCGGTGCCGATAGAGGCCGCGGGGAACCCTGGCGCCTGGCACGCGTGGAGGACGCACCGCCGCAACTCGAGCAGGCCAGCGCAGAGTAGCACCGGTGATGATCCCGTTCTGCAGGATGATGGCACGAAGCCGCCACCAGATCCTGCCGCTGACTCAGGGAACGACTCCTCTGGGACCAGAGCCCCAGGGGAGTGGAACTGGGATGGTGTGTGGGAGGCTCGCGTCAAGAAGGGGATTGCGACCTGCTTGTCGGAGGCTGCCCTCTACGGGGGATCCAATACTGTACCTGAGGATCTGGTAAGTTGGTTTTTTGTCACGTAGGTTTTTCAAGATGTTGGAGCTAACCTGGACTATCTTCTAGATTAATTTCGTTCCTATGGACGAACCGGAAATTGAGACAGTCAAAGAAAATATCATGCGTGTTCTTGGAAGTACAGCTTGATAATTTTCTCTTGATATCAATAGTCTTGTTCCTCCATCTGACAGAGATCAGGAAACTAAGGTACTGAGGTATACGATAATTCCTCCGGTCGCTGCTGCTCTGGGCAGGAGCATGCCTAAACTCCCGTCTCTGCACGCTTGTTTTACATTAGAAGCATGTTGATACCCATATATCATTCCTTGAACTTTTAACTTGGCTCTTTCCCTTTTGATCTTGTGTGACTGTCACTTCCTAATCTCTGTCGAAATGATGCATAACATGCATAAGTTTGAATTGAAAGTACACAGAACGGGAAACATATATATTTATTTTCTCGCCATTTCACCATCATGCTAATTAGCCGTGCTGTATTTTGCCATCATTATTTATACATTGGTGGGCTACACCTCGAAGAGCTTCGAACGATTGCAGGTTTATTGCCTTGAAGCTGAATTGCGATACCTTAAATCTATAAAAAATACTGCAAGCAGCAAAATCAGCGTACCGGCAGCCATGGCGTCGAGCACACCGAATTCATACTTGGAGGAACACAAGAAACGAGATCGGTTGGGGAAGCCCAGCCCTCTGCGAATCGTGAAGCGATTCAGCAGCGAGGACTCGTTCTACAGCCCCAGGAGCCTCAGTCTAAGATCAAACGCAAGCATGCAGGAGTGCGATGGCGACGACGGATGCCTGACGATAATGAAGAGGAAGCGCGAGAGACACCACGGCGGATTCGCCTTGGAGAAAACACCCCCTGCTGTTGCCAATCCGAACAAGAGCGATCTTCTTTCTGGTGAATATCACTGGGAGGATGGGATGGTTTGCAAAGGAGGGATGCTTGGTTCCCAGACCTTGAACGTGCGAAAGACACGCCAGCCTCGTCCGTCGATCCAGAGCCATCTTGGGCTGAGGATGCAGTGTGCACGCGTGCCGTCTACTTCTTCTTCTTGTTGCTCACCAGAACTGAAACTCGAGACGTTGAACGCGGTTCAAGCGGATGACCAGTCTATTGAAAGCCCTACGTCGGCATGTTCACAGGATATCCACCAGAGTTCAAGGCTGCCGTCGCCCACCTCTGTTTATCCTCTCGGCAGCCTTCAGAATAGATCGTGCACACTTTGCCCACACGTGGTTGTGACAGCAGAAGCCAATACTCTCCAAGACTGCCAGAGAACGATATGGGCAGCCATAGAGGTTTCGGGGAGACTCTCTACGCTCTCCTCCAAAGTGGCGGCCTGTGACCGAACCGGAGTGGTGACGGGGACATTTATTGAGCATGAGCTGGGTAGGTTTGTGCTTTCGATTCATGTCTGAGAAATTTGATTGCCTAATCCAGTTGCTTGGTAGACCGTTTCTTTGAGTTTGGTTGTTTATACGACTTGTCTGTTGAGGTGTTGCCCGCTGCCCAGACGACTGTGGTTCAGGTTTTGCGCGAACAGACTTTCCCAACGTAAGTTTTCTTTTCCGTTGACCAAACTGAATCGATAGTAACAGTCCAAGTACGATTTATGCTGGATCCAGCATCCTGCTGTTAGCTGAGATTCGGATCGACGCGGATCAGAAGTGTCTGCAGAGACCACTCCAGGGGCACGTCCGGCAGAAATCTGAAGAGTTGATCGAGGATCTCGAAATCCAGCTGGGGAGCTCACAATTTAACTATATGCACGTCAAGGTGTCGTATGCGCACTCGGTCTTCCCAGAGTCTGCTTGCGATGGAAGCGGAACTGGCATATCTAGCATGCACAGTCGATTGGAGACAGTGGCAACAGCTAGTCTGAAGCGTCAAATGGTCTCGTCTCCGTGGTCACCGAGGCCTGCACCTTCGTCCAATCCCTTGTTTCAGCTGGTCAAGGGGCACTGGGGTGGCAGCAAAGCAAGCGAAGCAATGGGGAAAATGTTAGCTACAAGGTCATGCCCAAGAAAGGCCGCCAGATCCAGTTCACCTTTGTCCTTGGAAAGAACTATGCCTTGCAATCCTGGCTTACCCTCAGCTGATCAGAAGTTACCAGTGGTGCCAGTGAGGCAAGCGAGCTTGCAAAGGAAATGGACTTCTGAATGCGATATCGAGAATCACGATTCGGAGGTGTCTCGCAATTCACTGAGCAGCAGTTGTTCCACAGATTCAAGACTAAGTTATAGGCAGGAAATTAGTAAAGGATCTAGATCACCAAAGAGCAGAAGTCGTGGAAGTGATGTTGGCTCGTCTGGGGACAGCGAGACCTTTCTACGGAATAGAGGGTCATTTGGGAGGGACGGTCTCAAAAGCCTCTTTCCAGACCTAACAGACCTCATCTCAGATAATTACGATAGGAGGGGAAAGGGGGCAAAGCCAATGCCAACCACAGCCAAAGGCAAAGGGAAGAAAGACACCGGAAGATGGGCGTGGGCGAGCTGGTTTTAGTGTTGGATGATCAGAATTCAGGGCTGGTCACCACTTGGGAAAGAATGATAGCTAGCAGGATATTTTGAGTATCGTGTATAAGATCAACTCATCCGTTTGATTATTGTACATGGTAGCAAATTAATGGTATTATTGTCTTTGGTTCAAATTTTTTTCTTCTATTTACTATTTGGCCTTGTGTAGGATTTTGAATCTCATTTCTTTTAGGTCTATTCTTTTTCTCCCATTCTCCCCCATGATGGACATTTCTCACTCCAGCTCATTCTTCCACGGGATAGAGACTTGAGCGCCTTTCCGCGCCACCGTCTTTGCTGAAGCCTTGTTGGCAGCTCTGATGGCGGCGTCGATGTCAAAGGGCGTGCCGGTCGCGCCCACGACGGCGAGGGCGTACGATCCGACGAAGGTGTCGCCGGCCGCGGTGGTGTCCACCACGATGGTCTTTTCAGCTTCGACGAGGGCGCCCTGCCCTGCGCTGTTGACGTAGTAGACGCCGCGGCCGCCGAGGGTGATGATGACGTTCTGGACGCCCCTGTCGAGGAAAAGCTGGCCGACGCGCTGGATGCCCTCGGGGGAATCGAGCTCGGACTCGGGCTTGCCGGAGAGGAGGGCGGCCTCGGTCTCGTTGACGACGAGGTGGGCGAGACCGTCGTAGGCCTCGGCGGGGAGGACCTGGGCGGGGGCGGGGTTGAGGAGTACCGGCACTCCGGCGGCCTTCGCGGCCTTTAGGGCCTGCATGACGGTGTCGAAGGGGATCTCGAGCTGCATGATGAGGAGGTCGGGGGTGGGTGCGGGGAGCTGGGCGAAGTGCTCCGGGAGGAGGGAGTGGTTGGCCTCCGGGGAGAGGATGATGCGGTTCTGGCCCGAGGGCTCGTCGACGACGATGACGGCGACGCCCGTCTTGCTGGCGTCCCTCACGGCCACGGCGGAGACGTCGACGCCGTAGGACTGGAGGCTGTCGCGGAGGACGGAGCCGAATGCGTCGTTGCCCACGGCGCCGATCATGGAGACGTCGGCGGTGGCGCCGGAGAGGGAGGATGTGCGGGAGAGCTTGGCGCAGGCGACGGCCTGGTTGGCGCCCTTGCCGCCGGGGGAGGAGTTGAAGCCATTGGAGGTCAGGGTCTCGCCGGGGAGAGGGTGGTGAGGGACGTAGGAGACCAGGTCGATGTTGAGGGACCCGAGGATGGTGATGCGGGGCGCCATGGCGGGTGACGTAGGATGGGTGGCCCCTATGCTTTGTGTGTGCGCGGGAGGGTGGTATGGAGAGACTGTGAGGCGAGGCCTGCGATTGAATCAGGCAGAATATCGAAGATCGACGGGCGTGATGTTACGCAGAATTGGGAATTGGCATTCTCACTGACAGGCAAGGCAAGTTTGCGTGCCCACTGAGGTTTGGAGATCGGCTCAGACTCGCCCTGTGGGGCACCTTCAACGAGGCCAAGAAATCAAAACCCCGTTCCTAGATCGTTATTGAGCCAAGCTAGATAAATTGGCGGGGGGAATAGTTCTTCATTTTTTGTCTAGTCTGCCGCAGAGAACCACGTCTTCTCCAAAGGGATGCCATTTCACGTCTGATAGCCTTGCGGCTGGGATAGGCACGCCTTGCTCGTCATGGGCTCTGGCAGGCGATACCACAACGCCTCCCTCTCCGAGCCATGTGGGAGCTATCGTGACGATTACAGAGTCTACCAGCGAGTGGTACTGGCTATCTAGAAGGGAGTTTATGATCTGAGCCCCTCCCTCGACCATCAAGCTTGATAGCCCTTCCCGGGAGAGCACGTCCAGGATATCGTGCCAGTCAAAGCGGCCTCGTCCACCAGATGCGGTCTGCTTTGGCTCTACGTGGAGGAGCTTCCCACCATGTTCAGTAAGAATCGAGATGCTGTCCTCTGGCCACTCTTCTGGTTGCAACCCCGTCAAGACAATGGGGGCCAGACCTTGACCGGCTCGACAGATTTGCAGAACCTTGTCGGAACGCTTCGGCGTCCAACGCAAGTGCGGATCAATGATGATTGGCCGAGGCTGGGATGAAGCTCCTGCAATCCGGCAGTTGAGTCCCGGGTCGTCGGCCAGCATGGTGTTGATGCCAACCAGAATAGCCGAGTGTCGAGAGCGAAGATAGTGAGTCATGGCTTTGGATCCTGGGCCAGACAAACGGGTGCGTACGCCCGGGGCGAGGGATAGTGAGGAGTCCAAAGAGGTCGCGAATGTAAGAGTGACAAAGCGTTTCGCGGCTGTTGATTGAGAAGATGCTGGGGGGAGGTATGGCTCAAGAAGAGCTGCCGAGGCTGAAGCGAACTCGAGTGCTTCCGACATGGCTCAGGGATCCGAGTTGAACGAGTATAGACAGTTCCTGAGATTTGACGATCTCTCGATAACCTGTATGGCCCTTGCTGCTAAAAAGTAAGGATAGAACCGGCGGAAGAATCCCGTGATTTTGCTTTATAATAATGAATTCAAGGGAGAAGAGAAAGAAGGGAAAAGGGTAGTTGAAGTTGCCGTAATATAGATCTGGCTGGTGTTGTCTGAGTGTGGATAAGAGATGAGAATGACGGTTGGAAAAGTGGCTGCAATCAGCCCCTCATCTTGCCCGTTTGATGCAAAATAATGGCGGGGTTAG